AAACAAAACAAAACAAAACAAAACAAAAACCCTGCTCTATATTTAAATAAATATGTGTGGAATGTTCCCTATGTGTCAGGGACTAGATACTCAGGGAAGAACAAGAAAAGCCATGCCTTCATGCATAATGTGAGAAAATGAAAGGGCTTCCCTTAAAAAAAACTCCTTTTAAGCATCTCAAAATTATATTACATATCAGAATTTATTGATAGGTTTTCTGCATTTAATATGAACATTATTTTTTAAAGCCCACCAGGATCTATTTGTCAGATAAAGACTTTTTGGGGGGAAGGAGAGAGGGATGGCTTCTAGTTTTAATAAAGTCAAAGTGATTTTGTGGATGTTTGTGTGTTTGTGCGTTTTTTTTTTCCCCTCAGGCTGGTTTATTAAGCCTCTCAAAGAAACAACCACTTCTGTGCGCTATCATCAAAGTATAAGGTGGGAACTGGTATCCGAAATGAAAGCTGAAAACATCAAATCATTTCTTCGGTGAGTTTTTTTTTTTTACATATTTGATCTTAAAACTCATGTTTAAAATATCACAGTGAGAAGCATGTTATAACTGGTTATATGCATGAGGACAGTCTTCTCTGTGTGAAATTACAATATTGGTCATCAACTTATGTTTATTTATTTATTTATTTTTTAATGTCTCTTTAAACCACTCTTGGGGTGAAATCTGTTAGAATGTTATAAAAGTAGGTCTTCCCTAACTTTACATAACACAAAGTATCTGGTTGGCTTATTGAGAGATGTTTCAACTTCATGTAACTTTGGATCTAACTGAATGTTATTCTTTGTTCATCAGTGCCTGGGTTTTAATCAGCAATATTTTAGATACCATATTCTGTCAGAGAAAGTTAGATTCTGGTTGACTAAGTGATTTAGTGGAAAAGTGATCCAAGTGTCTGATTCTGTCTGCCAAAAGTTAAACCTTTATCCCATCTTGCAGGTATAAATAAGTTTGTTGTTTACAAATAAGACAAAATGAAACCAGAAAGAGTCATTGCAAATCCTCTAGCTTCTAACCATGAAAAACAGTGGAAATCGGGGGAGTGATCATAAACTCCTTAAGAACAATGGCCATAGTATTTATTTCTGTATTCAGACTCTTTCAAATCGGTGTTTTTTAAAAAATCAACATTAGTGAAGTATAATTTACATAAAAGAAACTGCATCCCTATAAACCCTACAATTTGAGAGTTGTGACAGATGTATGCTATACTGAACCAACCACCTCCTCCATCATGCTACAAAAATATTCCATTATGCC